TTTTCTTTTGACATAAAGCATTACTGTGGAAAAGCCTGGTGATAAGCTTGTGTGTGAGTGTGTATTATAAACCGCTTGTTCTTTTTGCCTTAGAAGCTCAAGGGATCTGGGCTAATATTCTCAAGGACCTGGTATGCACTTGCAAATGAGCCAAACTTTTTTTATTCTAGGAAAATTTCTTGAATTATAGTTTTATTATAGTTTCTTGATTCAGCCTCTCAATTTTTTTTTGCCCTTGCAGAAGGCGACAAGCCAATCTTCTGAAGGGAAAACAGCTTCTTCGTGAGGGGAAAGTCTCAGAAGCCAGAGATTGTTTTACCCGCTCTGTCAATATCACACATGCTATGGCCCACAAAGTAATTAAGGTACGCTAAATAAGACATAAAGCTAAAGTAACAAATGGCTACGTTCATTTAAGCTGGTTATAAGCTGTTTGTTAAAGAGAGAGCAAGGAAATGAAGGGAGGCAAGTTATTGTAGGCCTAACCTCCAGGAGAGGGAGATGTCAGAGGAAGAAAGGAAGATAGAGGCGTTCAGCAATTTCCCAGGGAGAAATCCTAAGGAATAAGCAAAGCTTTCCTGTTTTAGAGAAGGCACTTAGATAAACTCTATCAGCATGTTGTCCTGTGGAGATGGAAGGGATACATTCCTAGAGATTCTGCCCCACCCCACTGTCTTATAGTCAACACTTACCGTCACCTTCACCTTGATTGACTGTCAGAGATCTGCTGAACCAGCCTCGCTGACTCAGGAACTCTACAGACTTCTAGGCTACTTAATCTGCTCTGCCTAGAAGCTTCTTTGTTTTTATCACCATGAATATTTGTGTCCACATGCCCACAATCCCAGCCGTTACTTCCCCTTCTCGGGACTGTTCAAACCACTTGATTAAAAGAATGGGAAAATCAATATAGCGATTGGCTTCTGTATTTGATCAACACAGTGTCAGAGAGACTTTTGTCAAGAGAACCTGTTATTTTTATGGGGAAAATATATTCAGAGCTCCAAACAGATGTCCTGTATACTTTTGGAGCATAACCATTCTTGCGATGGAAGCTCTCTATAATCTGAAATAATTAAGTTTTGTAGCTTGTAGTTTCTTTCCACCCTTCTGAATAACAGTATTTCTTTTCTCCAAATTTATAAATTGATTTTTTTTAAATTCTTAGTAGCTATTTTAATTTAATATATGCTGAGACTAAAAGTAGAAAAACATAACTTCAGTGGAAGTGATTTCCTAATATAACATGAGCATGTGCATACTAAGGCTGATAATAAAATGGATTTGAAACAGGAAGTTGTTTAGTTCTTTCCAGATGCGGTTCTG